ACACACACACACACACACACACACACACACAAAACAACAAAAAAACAACACACACACGAACAAACTTAGGTTCCACAAGCCTTATACAGAAACAAGCTTACCACATTTGTTACAGAACTTTCGACAGTTTTCCTCAGCGAATGAACTGAACCCGGGGTTGGTACAGAGGTCCGATTGGTACCTGGCACAGTCTGGGTTCTTGTCCACACACAAAGGAGGGGGTGTGGCCACACCTGGTTGCGGGAAATGGAACACGTAGAGATTTTAGGATGGGTATAGATGTATGAGGAGTATCCTAAGAATTCAGTCGCAGGATAGAATAAGAAATGAAGACTGTGGGAAAGCACAGGACAAAAGGATATAAAAGAAGAAATAGTACTAAGAAAGTGGCGTTGGATTGGACACACCTCCAGAAAGCCCAGCGGAAAAACATCACAAGACAGTCCCTGCAATGGAACCCACAGGGAGCACGAGGCAGGGGTAGGCCACGGGAAACATGGAGGAGATTTGTGGAAAGGGACATGAGAGAGATGAAGCTCACTTGGAACGAGCTAGGAAGGATGGCACAGGACAGAGATAAATGGAAGAAGCTTGTATGTGGCCTATACCCTGCCAAGGGTGAAAGGCACTGATGATAGGTATAGTGGAAGGTATGCACTAGTAAAGTCAACCGAGGAAAAGGGGAGAGAATCATTATAGCAAAGCAGATAAGAATAAAGAATAGATAGATCATAGATGTAATATTATAATACTATGCATACGAATGCTTTTAGTAGTAACTGAATAAAGACCCTAAGAAAAAATATATCATGCCAGGTCTATTGTTCAGTCAAATAGCTTATGAAATTATTATATCTCTACATAGATGCCCGCAATGGAGGGGTACATTAATCATTAAAGCACCAGAATAGGCTGCGATTCTACACTGCAACAGTATTCTTTAGAAACGAAACGCTTTGCCGGAAAAATATCACTCTTATAAGGTACCGACAACTAAAAAAAAACAAAAAAACAAGCAAACAAACAAACCCCCAACAAAAAACAAACAAACAAAACAGAACTGAATAAAAAAATCTAAAGAAAACAAAATAAAATGCCCTTGTCTCCCAAAAAACCCAACCCAAACCAACAAAGAAACAACCCCCCCCCAAAAAAAAACCCCCACAACAAAACAACAACCAACAAACAAACACATAAATAAACACAAACAAAAAACAAACACAGTACGTCCTGCGTCAGGGCAAGCTTGGCCGTGTGACAGTATTCCACCTACCTGATCCTTGGCATTGCACGTTGTTTGAGACACAGAATTACGGAGTGTAAGCAGGGCATTGATCATATTACCGGGTATTTCATAGAATTATGAAAGAATATTAAAAGCCGTGAAAATAAAGACGAATAGAAAGAAGCAGAACGCACCTGAGCGCCTATCGACCACATGTAGCAGGGAATACATGTAGACTATAATGTGAATTGGCAGTTTGCAGGATTACACAGGTTGTAATTACATGTACCTGCATTATGGTTGTACTCCTTACCCTGACAAATGCCGCAGTATCGTGCACAGTTCTCCTGGCCCCATTTGCCATATTTGTCCACAGAACAAGCGTCCTGCCCATAACGGGTGCAATCCACTTTGTCCACGCAAACTGGTGGAAAGAATATTATATGGTGTAATAGTCTAAATATATTATTGTTACTGGTACCGAACGACGTGTATTTGTGTCAGTAAGTTTCAGTATTTTCTTCAAACGCCGTGAGATGCTTTGAAATATTATTATAGACATGCTTTTGGTGTATGCCGGAACAAACATATACTGGATTAGTTTGTTATCTGTAATGAAGAGATATGTTCTGTCTGACCATCGTGGATGGTGATAATCTGCACTCTATGACTAACTTCCTAGCTCCAAATCTAGTCAATAGAATTACGTCGCACGTACCGAACATGTTAATCATTATGTCAACTCCCAAAATATGATGGAATACTTTATGGTTATACCATTAGGCACCGATAGGCAAGGACACCAGGGAAATATCAAAAAGCCTGATCAAACATTGGATCGAACAGGCTAAAAATGATTCAATTTTAACTAGCCTTTCTGTACAATGGAGAAATGTGGGCTTTATCTGTGGTATAAAGTGTACCTGACAAAATTGTCTAAAGAACAAGTTCTTCCCAACACTGAAGAAAACCCCCCACCACTATACATACACACCACACACCCTCCAACCAACCTTTAAAACAAATTAAAAAGCCCTAAGGATAAAGATTTAAAAAAATAAAAAAACTCACCCCCCAATCAAAAATTCAAAAACAAAACCCTAACAACAACCCACCTGAGAAAGACGAAAAAAAAACGCCAACAAATAATCCAGACATACCTGAACACTAACAAAATCAATACATGTATAAATACAATCCCATCCCCCCCCCCCAAATACACACACACACACACACACACACACACACACACACACACACACACACACACACACACACACACACACAGAATAAATAAACAGACGGAAACCCCCCAAATTGCGGCCAGCAATGTGTAAGAAGTAGATCTATAGGACAGTAACAGATCCAAAGATCGTATTTCAAAACTAAACTTGAATACCAGACCACATTTCATAATTAAAATGGGAAACCTATTACATTCGCATTTGAAACTTCTCTTACCATTGCCATTCACTAATCTGATACGCTTAACAAGTTTCCTCATACTATTATGACAATACGAGCACTTACGGTTTGGCGGAAGTGTGGTAGCTCTTGTCGTCATTGCATCTAGCGCCATCAACTGGCTGGCTGCAATAAAGGAATGGATAATGATATTATGGCATAGTACGATATTGGGGAGTAATAAGATTTAATTTTGAGTCGTCATACTCAACCCAGCGCATCCACGGGTGGTGGACAGGGAAAAGGTCTCCAGATATGGGGGTTAGCTGCTAAGCAGTCGCGAACCAAATGGGAGATGGTCGTGGAGAGTAAAGGAGAACCGTGGTGGCATAAATACCTCATAAATTCGAAGAAAGGACCATCTTGGTGATGGGAGGTGCCATAAATCCTACAAACGCCCCCATTGCCTTGTGGGCTGTCCATGGAAGACAAAGGTTAGTAGAGGAAACCGTACACAAACTGGCAGTAGGCAACGAGAAACCACTGCTATAATCTCCCAAGAACAATCATGGAAATATTGCTGCGAGTACTAATGAGAAGAATGAAAAAAAGTCAAAGACCAGAGATGTTTCGGCTTTGCTCCTTACAAGGGCACCAGAAATGCTTTATTCACCTTTACAATGTTAAAATAGATGTACTGAAGCACAGAAAGATCTGCATGCTTCATAGACTATTCAAAGGCGCTCGATAAAGTTAGACATGATGAGCTATTTAAAATACTGGAAGAGCTAGACATAGATGAAAAAGATCTAAGAATTATCAGGAATTTGTACTGGAACCAAAAAGCTGCTGTAGTAGAAACATAGAAAAAATGTCCAAGTCTCAAAGTAAATGGCGAAAATATTAACATCAGCTATGCCGATGATACCCAGAAAAGGAAGCTTCAATGGCTTCCAGATACTGTTGTAACGGAAAGTGAACGTAAAGGGCTTTTATTGAAGGTAAAGAAAACAAATGCATGGCAATATTTTTTTTAAGCAGCAAATCCTATTTGCAATCTCGTATAAGCAAAAATGAAAAGATCAAACAAGCCCAACAATTTAAATATCTAGGACATATAATAACATCTGAAGTCAAACAACAGACTCAGAAAAGGACCTCCAATAGCCTTTTGATTTTTGATGCTGTTCTAACGGAAAGTAAACGTAAAGGGCTATTGCTGAATGTAAAGAAAACAGAATGAATGGTAATTTCTAACATTTAAAAAAATATAGAGAAAGCAGCACATCCTATTTGTAATCTCATAAGCAAAGGCGAAAAGATCAAGCAAGCCCAAAAGTTTAAATACCTAGGATATAGTAACATCTGATATCAACTGTTCCACAGAAATAAAACGAAGAATTGCAATTGCTAAGGCTAATTTAAATAAAATGAGCCCAATCCTGAAAAGTAGAAACATCTCAATTACTACAGAAATGAACGTTCTGAAATGCTAAGTATGGTCAACCCTTCTAAATCAGTATATGGCTGTGAATGCTGGACAATCATCAAAGAGAGTGAAAATAAAATAGAAACAGCAGGAATGTGGTTTCTTACGAAACTGCTGAAAATATCGTTGAAGGAAAAGAAATTAAAGGAGGTAGTACTTGATGAAGTTCACATGGGACGCTCATTGTTAAAAACAATTAGGGAAAGACAAATGCAGTATCCGGGCCACCTGAATAGACATAACGGTCTTGAATATCTCGCTCTCACTGGCAAAATTGAAGGCAAACGAGGCAAGTGTAGGCCCAGGGCAACCTACTTAGAGAACCGAAACAAATGGGTAACGGGGAAAGATCAGGGTAACGTAGCTTTTAAAAAAAAGAGCATCCGGTGAAAGGAATGAATGGAGAACCATGATTGCCAATGTCAGCCGCAGATCTGGCACTTGATGATGGTGATATTGGGTTGATGCAGCTTTCGTAAATAATTTAGTGAAGAGCTGAGACGCCCAATAAGACCTAACCAAGAGGATAGAGAGCGTGTGAAGGTAGTAGATATTATGCTGTATCGAGATTGAATGGTTAGCAAAAAATGATGTTACAAGTACTTCATGTTCAGAATATTATACGCTAAAAAAACCATAGGATGTGCCGAACCGAAACTAAAAAGTAAATGATGAAAAACTCAAAACCATTGTCTGTAATTTCACATCAAATTGAAATATGTAAATAAAACAAAGATCCAACTACCCCATTATATTTTTGTCTATGTGGTAAGTACTCATCGCTGCCATTTCACTCCTCCTTTTCCTTCTCTGTTACCCCCCCCCCCCACACACTTTTCCTATCTCCCTGTCCCCATTTTCTCTTCATTTTGGAGAACGTTTTTCAATATGCAATGTGCAAATTAATACATCTATCCTACATCTCTTTGAGCGAAAGCACGGAAAAGCAATTTAACGACCTCATTACTCCCAGGAAAAACAAATTTCAACGTTCGTCATATTTTTTTGTATACAGTAGCAGTACATGCAACCTAAGACCTTCTGGTGTTCAAGGGGAAAAATCCATTAGAAACAACAAAAAGACAAATGACTGTCAACAAACTTGAAAATCAATACGTTACTGCAGACCGCTCAATGTGTTGTGAAAACTACATTATGTTCTCAAGCATTTCACAGATTTCGTATAATATTTATAAATAGTGGCTAGTTCATAGCAGGTTTTGTGCTGACAAAGAGAGTAGTGTGTGCGCGCGTGCGTGTGTGTGTGTGTGTGTGTGTGTGTGTGTGTGTGTGTGTGTGTGTGTGTGCCCATGCTTAACATACTCTAGGTAGTTTTATAATGTTTAGAGGGCCTTTTTATTAGTTATTATACATTTTGCGTGGCTGAAAATGTCTTTGTCCTTGAACACATCCAGTGAAATCAATAAAATAAGTGCGTACGTAGAAGAAGATTTCTGGTAAAATATGTACACCCATAACGCAAAACAACCTTTTCGAAAGTCTGTTTTATTATCTTAAACTTTCACTCCACCCTACCCCTCGATTTTCTGAAACTAACGAAGAAGGCGAATAAAAAAGCTGCATCGGCAACACAAACAACAACAATAACGAAAATCAGACGGGAACAGTCGTTGACAATTCAGCCTTCTGGCTGTAACTCATTTTTTCCCTTTTTCATGCTATTTTCCCACTGAGCTTAACGTTAGATCTAATAATAATTTTTTTGTTTGAAACAAAACATTAGAAATAATACAATAATAATAGATAACATTTGTATGGCGCAAATTCCCGCTCAACAGCAAGCTCAGTGCGTTTTACAATCTATATCATTGCCCCAGCAGACCATTGTGAAACAACCTCAACTTCCTGGGAAGCCAACAGTGCAAGCTGCCGTTTTATAGGTGCTAAACACTAACACTAACATGCTGATAAGATCTTTCGCTGCTTACGGCCGGGTAGGTCTACCCATTCCTACTGGGTGAAGTGAGGAAAATTCATGTAAAGTGCGGTTCCCAAGGACAAAACGTCAGGCATGAGGCCAAGGGGCAATTAGTGTACTTTCATTCGGAACATGGAGAACCCTGATTCAGGTCTCGCTTTTGGGCTGTGGTCAATTATAAACTGGAAACTATTTCCCTTGATAATAAATGGACGCCATGCTCATGCTCCATGGCCTCTTGGAGAGGGACACAAGAACAGTTATACAGAATCTAGTCCTCATGAGATTTCCAAGATTCTGAGTTTCATTAAACAGGAGCGAATTTACTTTGGAGAGTCATGTCAGAAGTAGAAACGACGAAGAATGTTATGAAGTTATTAACACCGCAGAAGTGTTGACTACCATCTTGAAAAAACTACGGTCTCCTCAAATGCTCTGGTTGTCGCGAGCGTATTCTTTCAAAGGCTACTTACTGTAAACGGTAAACTAATGATATGTTCCCTACCACATTATATTATAAATCTATACATTACAATATATTATGCCTAGATCTATCTATCTATCTATCTATCTATCTATCTATCTATCTATCTATCTATCTATCTATCTATCTATCTATCTATCTATCTATCTATCTATCTATCTATCTATCTATCTATCTATCTAGATACAGAGGATACACACACACACACACACACACACACACACACACACACACACACACACACACACACACACACAGAGAGAGAGAGAGAGAGAGAGAGAGAGAGAGAGAGAGAGAGAGAGAGAGAGAGAGAGAGAGAGAGAGAGAGACACACACACACAGACAGGTAGACAGACAGACAAAGAGACAGAGAGACAGAGACAGAGACAGACACAGAGGGAGGGAGGGAGGGAAGAGAGAGAGAGAAAGAGGGGATGCACAATTGGGGAAAGCAGAAAAAGGAGGACTGACATAATTTTATGAGAAGGCGCAATGGGTGGCTTTTGGTTGCCCCAATCTAACCTCGCCATCTTTAGGTTGTCTTTAAATGCTCATGCTCAACGTGTTTTGGGTCGTTTTATAATGTTCCTCGGGCCTTCTAATGGGTTATTAAATCATACATTTTGCTAAGCTGATAACTTCTTTGTCCTTCAACAAATCAAGTGAAATCAATAAAGTAAGTGTCCACGTGGAGTAAGATAACGAGGTTGACTGACTCACGGGGCTCTACTGGTGCTCTGTTGGAATCTCGCTAGATTATATTGCATCAGCAAGGTTCAAAGGATCACTAATGTCTTTGTCTTGGAAAGCGAGATTCGTGCATAATTTAAAGTGCGTTTTCGGGCATTTGTTGTCTCAATCTGGATTTAATATCCATATACATTGCATATTATTCAGCAAGGTATCAGGAATCTTTTAGCGAAAAGCGAGTTAGGGAGGCTCCACCAGAGTAGGGACGATGTGTGACAACGCACAGTTTAGGGAATTTTGTTCAATCTAAAAATTCCAAGAGAAAGGGTGAATGGGGTTGTTTACTACTTCAACAGTCTGCCACTCCATTTTTTGTAATGATAATATCGCTTTTACCAGCGATGATTAAATATGCCTGCCCTGTTCAGATCCGCCAAATGAATTCAACTTGATAAAATACAGCCAATGGAGGAATTGAACGTAAATAGGGACATAAATAACCATGCCGGAAATTTTATCAACTGTCATGAACACGCAAAGTAAAACAGTTCAGGAGAAAACAGAATCTCCGCTTAAAACAACTGGAAAAGAAAGTTATGAGATACTACTTTTGCTATTTAATGAAGTTCCTGAAAAAGAAAACATGCATATGGAATGGAGAAAGGGAAATATAATAAAACTACCTAAAAAAAAGAAACATTTAAAAGATTGTGGTTAATAGGAAAGGAATAAAGCTTTTATCAGTGCCCGGAAAATCATTTGCTCTATCATTTCGTCACGAATAGCAGTAGATGAGAGACTCAGAGAGGAACAGCTGTATTTCGACCCGAGAGATCATGTACAGGCCAACTAGGTCTATTTGCTCTGTGAAATATTGTAAAACAAAGCAGAGAATAGCAGTTGACAGCATAGACCGAAAGGCCAAGTGGAAAATTCTTGCGGTTTATGGCTTTTCAACTAAAATAATAAACTGTATAAGATCTTTATATCCCAAAGCAAGCTGCTGTTTAGTTTAAGGAGAACTATCTACATCCCTAGAAGTAAATAAATACTGGAGTTAGATAAGACTGTATACTATCACTTGTACATTTTTGAATGGTGATCGATTTAGTTATGACACTGAGCAAATATATTGAAACAGGCAATGGTTGGACAAGTGGCACATGTTTAGGAGATTTAGATTGTGCGGATAACATTTGCTTATTAAAGACCACAGTACATGAAATGCAAGAAAAACAGAAGGATTAGCAAGAGCAGCGAAAAAAGCTAGCCATGTAATAAATGTGTCCAAAACAGAAGCACAGCAGCTATTACCAAAAACTACTCCTATTTCTCTTTATGGAGAAGCTCTTGCAGAAGTTGGCAAAATCAAGCACCTAGGTAGCATTATCTCCAAAACTACAGACTGCCTTGACAACGTCCACCAAAGACTTTAAAATGCATGGATCTCTTTTGTAAAACTAACAACCATCTGGGAGTTAAAGATAATTTCATGGAAGACGAAAAAAAAAAAAAATTCTAATGTGTTGGCCGTACTGAGATATGTAAGTAAGTAAATAAGTAAGTAAGTTTATCTAGCGTTTAAGGCCATTGGCCCACATTGCATTATATACTAAGCTCATTCGTTAAATGAAGTTTACACAATGAAAGAGTTCAGCTTGCGCACATATCTCTTATCATGGGTCAAACATTGCATATTTCTTCTGTCTCTGGGTCGAGCCAGGCTGGAAGGAATTAACAATTCCCTTTGATGGGCAAAATATCGACAATAGAAAGTAAAATGAAATGCATTTTCAATTTCACGAGAGAGTGACACCTCTCACGTAAGGGTGAATTTTCATCGTGTCTATGCAGGTTCAGAGATATGGAAACAAACAAAGCAGTTCAACGAAAATCAAAAAGCTTCCAAATCAAAATGTTTACGAAGAATTTTTCTACGTGTGTTGTGTAATAAAATGAAATGAATTTATTGCAAATAATGAAGTGTTGGAAAGAGCTGGAATCGAGATATCAAACACCACCACGAAAAGGAGAAGATTGAGATATCTAGGACATGTTCTAAGACTGCTGAAGACAAAATTGTTCTATCAGAAATGGTATTGGAGACCAACAGGAAAAAGAAATAAGGGATGAGGCAATCATCCAGGGTCTGGGCGTGCCGAGATTGGATAAGGTGGCCAGGGAAGCATGGCATCGACTGCTCTTCACATTTTGTACCTGACGGTATAGGGAGAGAGTAGTAAGTAAGCTGTTCAGATATCTTTTAAAGAAACTAAACCTAATGAAACCTTTCTGTGGACAATAAAACACGCAGCTTAAGCATTTCGACTGGTATAGTGACCAAGGCATCATGTTGTAATAACTATCGTATGTAGAACGTTACCCACCAGTACATAGCCGGCAATGACGCCTGCAGTTGTCCTCAGCCCAAGAACGGTAACTTGGGTCTGTGCAGGCTGAGTCGTCAAAATCCTGACAGTCGCTCCGTTTGTCCACACACTGCGGTGGCTGAGTTGGAAGAGCTGACGACAGACGTATGAAAAAGACATTATATATAAAATGTATTTTGTGTGTGTGTGTGTGTGTGTGTGTGTGTGTGTGTGTGTGTGTGTGTGTGTGTGTGTGTGTGTGTGTGTGTGTGGTGGACTGTTAGGCAGAGTTATGCTAATAATCAACAGGTAAGCACTGTTTGTGGAATACTTGCCTCTTCATAGGACAAAATTCAAAAGTGCTCTCCGACTGTTAAAAATTAAATTCAAAGCGATGATTAAATCGTCTCATATGACCTCCTATCGAAGGATCACATGTGTTCATAGCAGCTCCCTTTGTAGGCGTATTTATTTCTGTTTGCCGTCTTAGTTTCTGTCAGGTGACAGGACTGGCTTCTGTGGTGTAACGGTTAAGGCTCATCGACGTTGCAAGCAAAAGACAAGTGAGAAAGTTTATTCTCCCGAGCAGACTCGACCTCCAATTTTGCAAACAGAAATGCTATTTTCAATTTGGTCGGGGCTGGCCATGACAGACATGTTGAAGCAGCCCGCCTCCTGAATTATCCTATCGATGTGGGTATGAGGAAATCATGATCAACAAGGGACTGGAAGCGTGGCAGCGTTTTTGAAGACAAGGCGCAAATAATGACAACGATTTACTTCTAGCTCTTGGTTAAATTCTATTAGTAATAGCATTGTTGATTTATGAATACTGTTCATTTCTTCAACGCAGAAAAGGAAACAAATACTTCAGATTCAAAACCACCTATACTTCACATGCTAAGTTAGTGTCTCAAGGAGATCGTAGTTTTTCAAACTTGATATGTTCCTTTGTTTTAATCTACTTCGTCCACTGAAGACGTAGTGAAGATCTGATGCAAATTGATCGCAAAAAGAAAATTAAAGAGCATTATCCTGTGACTATTTCTGATGCAAAGATGTATTTTTCACAATAATATTATATAAACATTGATTGCCAAAGTTGAAAAAATATCACTCACATTTGCAAAATCCGCATGTTGACTCGCAGTTGTTCTGGGCCCACTCCTTGTAAATGCCAGTACAAGAATCAGCACCGTAGTTTTTGCAGTTGTTGATTTTGTCTCTGCAAGCTGGGATTTTTTTTCCAGAGAAAAAGGAAACGACCTTTAAAGTTAATTGTCTTGGACAAAGCTTTCAACATTTTTGCTGCTTAAAGTATATGTTAGCTTCCTTTCTAAGTTTCACATTTAAATCTTTGATGAATCATATTATAATATAAAGAACAGCGTAGGGATGAAATTCTCTTCCTGTATGCCTTTATTATTCCTGTCTGCCATGTTTTCAACATTATGTATGTTAGTCGGAAGCTACATTTTATAAAGAAAAATCTCAAGAGAGCTGTATACTGTGTTGCTGTAATGGTGGCTCACGGTCTATCCTTTCCGGAGAAAAGTTCAGTTTTAGAAAAGGAACAAGACGACAGCAACAGCATTTTTTCGACAACACCTTTGTCTGATCATTTGTGTCACAATGAAAAATACATCTGCATGTAATAATCTTTTTTATGTTTTGTTTTCATTTATTCCTCTGTTTTGTCATCTTGTCAGTTTCAGAAACTATTTTCGAAAACTAGTAGAGTTACTTTCATCTAAAAAGGACACTTACACTAATAAATACCGCTGCAAAGCAGATTTATTAGAAAGTAACTTTTATGCTGACTGCAATCTCCATGTAACTGAAACGAACAAGTAAAGAAACGGGAGGCAAAAGTGTGACAATAATCTTTGAACTTTTACAAGGAGATCTAGTTTGCTATCTTGTATAAGATCTTTCAAGTGCAGCCCATTTGTATTCAAAGAAAAGTTTCCGCCGGATTAAATATGAAACAAAGATTTATGCTGGAAACGTTCTGCATGTTGTTCATAGTAAAGAGGACTGCTGGGCATTCATAGACTTACCCGACCTACTGGCGGACAAGGCTGACAAATGCCATTGGGGGTGACAACGACCAGTAACCAGTGAAATATTCCTTCCTTTTTTCAAGTGGATTTACTAATTTTTTTAATGCAGTATTTTTGGGTTTGATTATCGATTGGTATCTTTTTATATCTAAAAACATAAAAACAATAATAATAATAATAATAATAATAATAATAATAATAATAATAATAATAATAATAATAATAATAATAATAATAATAGCTCTGCAGGTACCATTTTGAACAGAACAACAGTTGAATCTAAGGTGTCTGCTCCTTTCTGCTAAAATTGGTCCTGCATGGTGTGTAAAACTTTGGTAGACATTTTTCACAAAGGTACGTAAACTCTAACACTATTTTTGAATATACTTTAAAATTGATTCATTTAACTGATTTTAATCTTCTTAAATATATGCTATTTAGGCTGTGGGGGTGGGGGAGGGTTCTTGTACAGATGTACAGTATTCAAAAGAGGCGCAACTGGTCTTATCAACCAAGGTATGGTAAGTATCCTTGATGTAGATACCGTCTTGTCGTTTCTACATTTTTGCAATTCGTATATACGACATTTTTTGTTTTCCAGATGCTTTTTTTTTGCAGTTGTTAGAATGATGCTGGGTACGATTGGAGTAGACACACGTAGTACAAGTAAGAGATAGTACGACAGGATACATTAACGCTAATATGCCTGACACTCCTGTCGGTTTATCCTAATCCCATTTATTTCAGTCCAAGAAATCGAGAATGCCGACTGACAGCGCTAGAGCGCCAGACAAAGTACAAAAATAAAAAAATCCTGATAATGCCCTTCCCGCTACAAGGACACAGCTCAAAGTGCGACCAAGTCTGACCCCACCAAATATGTGACCTTATTGAGGAATACTTTCCCGGCAATCAGAGCACGTCCGATGTCTGCGGATGCTTGAGTCGATGATGTTGTCGTCTGCTTTCAAGAGTTTTCGTATGGGTCTCGTCAAATGTTTGCTTTATAGTTGACATTTTTATCAATAATCGGGACAGAAATATTGGGTCCTCGGGTTAGCACAGTCGTTTTTATGACGATGAAATAGTCCCCATTTCCTTCTTGCATCGTGTCGAGCAAGTTGAGGCAAAGCATCGATATGTGTTCTTCTACAGTAAGATCAAACAAAGAATCGAATTTTGTGCACTGTAATGTTCGTCTGCAGTGTGTTGATGTCTTGGACACGCCACTAATGAAAGTCTAAGTGCTTTACTGCGAGCCCAATCAGCAATTTTAATATTGAACAACTTTCTGGGCCCGCTAGTAAAACTGCTGATTTTTTTTAAAGGCCACTTTTCGGTGTACACGTAGATTGTTGCATATATACGCGCACGTGTGGACCATTAAATTTTGTTTTGCATGCTGTCAACAGGCTTTATTTGGATCGACCTATAAAAACAATTAGTATACTGACATTCACTGATCATTTTTCCTTCTCTTCCTACCCACGTACCCCAACCTCCTATGCCCGTGTTTATAGCAAGAAAAAGCAAACGAACAAATAAAGAACAACAACAAATAAACAAATGCGAGTGTATGAGGTCATATTTGCTGCGCGCAACTGTTCTAGGCTGGGTGAAAATTAAGGTTGCTTCACAATCAAACGTGAGCTAAAGGTAACGCATGGAACGTACAGGACTTCGCACAGAACACTTGGGCAGTGACATGAGAACTACGAATTAGACCTCACAAGGGTAGTTTAACAGTGCGTTACTCTGTGATTGTACTTACATCTAATAATAGTTGCTTTTTTCAGGGTGGTGTACGCTCTTAACCCCCTAAAGAATGACTGTAGACAAAACTACTTTTGATGCATCAATATACCACTTTCATAATGTGTGAGCTGGAAAAAGTTCACATTGGTGTTTAGGACATTAACCGTCATCAATTTTTGGGACTTCCTATAAATGCTATTAGTAGTGTGTTGAACACGAGAAAAGCAATGTTTGTAGCAATGTGAGATTATCAGTTCTTTATACCCAGCGATTATTGCGGAGAGTTGACAAATGGCTAGGCTCTTCGCCTTTGTACACCAAAGATGAGATTTTGATTCTCGACCGGGTTGTCTATTTTATTGATATTTCAGTCTTTCTGCTATGATGCTGTAGATTCTATTCGGGTTAGCCTTGATGAGCAGGCTTGAAGCAGACCAAAAAGATTCAAATCGTGTAGCTGGGGGCGTGCACATTGAAAGTGCAACCGTTTGTGCTGTCCTTAAGGAAGCGTAAAATCATAACCCAATGGCAAAATTTAAATGACTGATGGGGTAGAAATAAAAATGAGGAGAGAACTAGAAACATATTCATAATGTAACAAAGTGAAAAAAAGTAGTGTGGTCGGCAAAGGAAAAGGAAACACATTCGGACTTGCAAACACTAAAGGAAATTATCACAGACAAAATATATCCATGGCCAATCTACACACGAGCTAACAATACTTTCAGGGGCGGCTCGTGGGGCTAAAAAGTAAACGTGCACAATTAAGCTATATCATGCTGAAGATAGTCAAGGGCATAGTAAATGAGATGGTGTATAATTTTAGGATCTTTGGGTTGGTGAGGGAGGACCTCGTGCTTTATTTTCATTCTTTTTACTTGTCCCTTTGATTTCTAGTACTAAATTTGTTTGTTAGCTAAAAATCAATTTCATTTATTCTGTATTGGAACTGAACACTCAAGTAATAACTTTCACTACTCCACTACAAAACCTTTCAAAGGCACAACTCATTGGACGGTCACGTTCACCTCCCTCCGGTTCACGGTCACAGAGTCCCTTAAAATAGTGGCAAGACAGACAATGAACTAATGACAATTCACTTGAGCACTCCGCTGGATTGCTCCGGGGGTCACATAATATTGACAAAGAATAGCATACGGTCTATCGCGTTTATTTTTAGACTGCCTACTGTTGGCTATGTTTCGGCACTTTTCGGCAGGAGCACATTTGAGATGTGCCGTCTTATTAATATTAATGTATCGCCAAACTCGCTACGAGTGTCGTCATCGCTTGGGTTATCCCCAAGAGCGATTTATAGGTCAGGTTACATTGTTGAATATCCTATTATGTTTAGCTAAAGCACGTGGACTTTGGCATGGCATTTTATATGTTTTACGGCGCTATAGACACAGAAATGACAGTTATGGCGCCAACGAGGACCTTATTTTGATAAAATATTTGGCTAGTGTTTGTTTCTGGCTTCTTTTGTTTTATTATTGTGAGTGTTTTACGTAATAGAACATTAAAAATTTTGGGCGGCACTGCACGACCGTGCTCTATGGACGAACCGCACTCGAATACTTTGTAACTTACGAAAGTGCTTTTTATTTTATATTTTGAAGCCAGAACAACCCAAGTAAATGGAAGACAGAAATTCGGTTGAAAATAAAGAACTTTTTGGATTGTTTTCTGACTTCTTACAATATCAGTCTTATTGTCCTGCAGCAATTATGCATTTCATCGTGAAACTTACAACATGAGCTCTTGAATATCAACAATTATGCACAGGGACATAGGTTTCGTTTAGCAATCAGGGTATGCATTGCTTTGGTTTTGAATACTTGGCTTTTTTGAAAAAGGAAATCGGGTTACTCAAAGGGCAGTACTGCAATTGTCTGTTGGACCAGAACTGAGCTAGTGTGTGTGTGTGTGTGTGTGTGTGTGTGTGTGTGTGTGTGTGTGTGTGTG